TGCCCGAATGACCTTCAGCCGGCCAATTATAAAAATAAGTGACTTTTGCACACAAAGAAGGTGACATTTATTCACAAGAAACCGCATAAAAACACACTCACACAGGGTATCTTTCGCTGACATGACTTAAAAATACATCCCAGTTATAATGAGGAATGTCAATTGCTAAGTTAGACTAGTTGCTGTACATGTATTCACCGAGGTGAATAAAAGTGAATAAAAAGATCAACGACTACTTACCACGAAAATGTGGATAAGAAAACAAATTAAAGTAAATTACATCAACTCTACATCTATCCCGAGGCTTAACCCTAACCTTAACCCTGATTCTAACCCTAGACTTAACACTAACCCTAATTACAACCCTTATCCTAACTGTAAACATAACCCTAACGCCAATTATGACACTGATCCTAACCCTCACCCCAATACTTACCTTAACCCTGGTTACAGGGTTTCATCATGAGCTGACATTAGTTAGAGAACCATTGGAAAACCAGCACTGGAATACTGGACGATTATTTCTTCCTAGTTTGGGGCTCTTCAGCAGTACGCACCCACCGGGGTCGAACCCAGCACCTTCTGGTTACAAGGAGAGCTCGTATACCATTAGGCCACTGAGACCCAATCCAATGGCCCATGAGTTCTAACTTCTGCCAATTCACGACATAGCACGACCACTAGCCAATGTCTTCGGCGAGTATTTGTCCTTACACGTCACGAGTTTCCACTAGAACCCCAGGTAACTACCTACCTCGTTTAATGGTTTACGAGCTCACCTTGTAACCAGAAGGTCCTGACTCGAACCCCGGTGGGTGCGTACTGCTGAAGAGTCCCAAACTAAAACGAAACAGCTGGCTGTCCAGTACTCCTAGTGCTGGCTTTCCAATGGTTCTCTAACCAATGTTAGCTCATGATGAATTCCTGTAACCAATCAACCAAATCCCTACAAACCAATACTTGATTTACCTTAACCCTAATCCTAACCCTAACGAGCTATTAACACATTGACCAAAAAGTACTTAAAAAATGTGATCTGGGTGAAATTTTTCTGCCTAGTTGGTGAATAGCATTGATATTTTAGCTATGCTAATGACAGATGCCATCAACCAAGGACTAGCATGCGTTCAAGGTTATTCAAGCGTTCCCACCCCTTGAGATGCTATTGTTGAACTTTGGCAAAATTTCACCCCTCTCCATAAGTTAATGCACCTTTAGTCTCCATATCATATAATTTCTCTTCCAGTTGTTCTACTACTCATAATTTATGCAGTACCTATTTCAGTAGTATCTACCACGGTAATTATAAGTCGTCTATAAATAAATAGATAGACCTAATTCAAGAAGTTGATGATATTGTTAACACCGTCGGTGAGAAGCAATAATAATAATAATAAAGAAATAATTATTGTTATCACTAAGATTGTCACAAATGTCAAAAGAGAAACAAGTGGAAAACATGAAAACGTTGTCTATCTGTATATATATATATATGTACATTCTTTACTTGTGAAACGTCCACCGACAATTCCTCATGGATACATACACAAGTAGATTGTTTCATTCAAAAATTATGATTTATGGCTTATACTGTGTTGTCGGTTTTTCTATCTATCTATCCACCTGTCTGTCTGTTTATCTATCCGTCGGGGTGTCTGGCATGCGTTTTAACATGTTACGCTCATCAATGAAGGCGAAGGATTGTTGATAGAGATTGAGATATATCTGTCGAATAGGGCGGGGCACGGTAACTAGTTACGATGATAAATGATGATGATGATGATGTCGGTGATAAAGTGCTATCTTATCTAGGATTAAAAATTCAATGAAAAAATATGGATAGATAGGTAGATGAATGTTACTAGTAGTAACCATAGTGACTTCGGCGTGTGGGCGTGTGTGTGTGTGTGTGTGTGCGTGCGTGCATGTGCAACATATGTGTATATATCATGTTTTTTTTCTCTTTATGTCTGTTATTTTCACACTGCATATTTAAACCACACACACATCTACCCATAAAAAATGGAGAAAATATGGATACACAACTGTAGGTTGGGTTGATTTAGGCGGATGAAATTTTAATCTCCTGGGTATCAGTATACATCTTTTCTGGTTATTACTACGTTCAATAATAATAATAATAATTGATATCAGTTAAAGAACCATTGAAAACCATCCAGGGAGTACTGGACAGCCAGCTGTTTCATCAACCTACTTTGAGCATCATCGGCAGTACGAAACCCCAACTACTGTTGGAACCCAGGACCTTCCGGTTACAAGACAAGCTACCATTAAGTCACAGTGGGAACCAACTCAGCGCCTAGGCCATGTATAAATTCTAACTTCTTCTAATTCTAGTGTTGGTTTGTAGGAATTTGATTGGTTAGAGGATTTTCATCATGAGCTGACATTTAATTGGTGGATGGTGACTAGCAGTGGAATCCAGGATGCGCATTTCGTCCTACTTGGAACTCGTCATCTGTATGTACCCGCATTTCTCAGTGAGTGATGATGTTCCACCGAGGCTCGAACTCAGTGCCAATAGTTTCAAACGCCAAAGCGTTATCCACTAGGCCACTTGGGCCACAAGAGCCACCTCTTGTGCAACGGGTCATATTAATTATTTAATTGGATTTCTAATTTTCCCGTCGATTGAGAAATGCAGGTACATCCAGATGATGAGTCCCAAATAGGACGAAATGTGCATCCTGGATTCCACTGCCAGTCACCATCCACCAATTAAATACTAATTAAATTCCCAGACATCGTCGAGGCATCTGCACAAGAAGCCGACATGTCAGCCTGAGACCGAGCACTTCGGTCCAATCAGTCGGCGGGCAAATCAAAAATTCAAATAAATAAGCTTACATTAGTTAGAAAACCATTGAAAAACAAGCTGGGAGTACTGGACAGCTGTTTCGTCAGCCTAGTTAAAGACTCTTCATCAGTACACACCCACCGAGGTAGTGGTCGCGCTATGTCGTGAATTGGTAGAAGTTAGAATTCATGGGCTAGTCATTGGATTGGGTCCCAGTGGCTTAGTGGTCTACGAGCTGGCTAGACTTGTAACCAGAACAGCATGGGTTCGAACTGTAGCGGTGAGTGCTTACTCCTGAAGAGTCCCAAACTAGGCTGACGAAGAAGCTGTCCAGTACTCCCAGCTTGTTTTCCAGTAGTTCTCTAACTGATATCAGCTCATGATGAAATCCTTCTACCAATTCTCATTGGCCGATTCTATTGGACAGAATGGCTTGATCTACCCACAAACACTAATCCCAAATTGGGATAAAACACGTATCAAAGATTGCCAATACTAACTACCATATCGTCAAACAACACATCATTAGTAGCTTCCAATATTAGTAATAGTAATAATGAAGATCAAATTGCCAGCCGGCCTTCTAGAATGAATTAGGGAAAAGAAACTTTGGAAAAAAAACCGACCATGAACCAACCTACTGCTTTACAAATATGCAGGAAAAAAATGGGGATGAATCGGACACATGCTGAGGAGACCGTCGAACGACGTCATGTGTTAGCTAAGTCATCATTCGAGTGGAAGGTAAAAATGGGAAACAACGAGTTTTACGTGACTGTGAGGGTGACATGGTGGAGATCAGAGACTATTGGCAGTTGTGGGGGTAGCTGATAAAGAAGGCGACAGAGAATAGGACAAAATGGGGATATGTGCTTTTGAAGTGCTGTATTCCAGCTTCATCCTCACTTCTCCACTGCGTTCGCTTATCTACCAACCTTTACAACTGGCTCCACGTCTGCCCATATGCTCTCATATCCCCTTCGCATAACCCTCTCCCCCATGTCCTCCTCGCACTGACAACCAACTGATTCGCCGCTTCCCATTCGGGCATCACTCGAGCGATTGCCTGGCATGTGATGGGTGTCACTTGATTATGGCTAGCCAATCCACCTGTATTTCTTCTTGCATATTTGTTGCACAGTTAGTTCGTTTATTGCCAGAAATTCCTCACTACTGCTGATCTTTTCTGGCCGGCCAGTTGAACTTCAGAGAAGTACTGAGCAAAGACAACTGCTGATGAGGGTGTGTAGTTTGTTCCAAGTGGTCTTTGTGACACGGCGCAGCATGGGTCGAAGTCTCTGATTCATATAGTAAGTATCAGTGACTTACTTCACATTGGAGTTGAAAATCCAGACCTCCTGTTGATCTCCTACACACAGACTTGGTGAGAGTAATGAAAGCTTGTCTTGCTTTTCCGAACCCCGCTGCTTTGATATCGTCATCAGTTCTGTCCGCTTGTAGTTGAAACGATAACAATAACAACAAGGAATAAATAATACTGTGTAAACTAGATACTTATATGTATAGACTACAACCAGCCTTTCTACTACATCTAATCTAATCATACAATATGTCATCTTGTTTACAGTGATATTAGTTGCCATGTGAGAAAGAAAAACGCACAATTTAATCAAACCATTTTCGTGTACTTTTAAATTATAAGAATGAAAAAAAGACAGTGAATCCAGGTTACGGACGGGGTGTTTGGTATTTTTCTTCTCTAATTTATGAAAACTTACACTTTCATGCATGTATATGCCTAGCTACATACACACACACATACCTACACAAGCATACAACCACGGATGCATAGAACATAAAGCCTCTTTCATAGCTTCCGTAGTGTTTTTCACTTTTTTACGCTTGAACACATCTATCTCCACCCTCCAACCCAGCCTATCCAACAAGATAAAAGATTTTTTTGTGACACCTTGACAAATCAATTATGTAAGCCTTCCTTTGTGTGTGTGTGAAATGTACAGTACATGCTTGCTCTTTGTGTGCATGTACTTTCTCCGTGTTTATCCTCGTTCGTTCATTTTGGTCATTCTATCTATATACTACTTAAATACTACTATTAGTACTAGTATACACAATTGTCCAATGTCTATCCTACACACAGACATATGTATACAATATATATATAGGCTGTCCTTTTGTAATCTATTTGTTCAATGTTCAACAGTGTTGAATATAATGGATTTAAAATGTGCGCAATGAACATTTAACGTTGAATTTAAACAATCATTGCGTTACACACATAAGGAATAATGGAAGATAATTATTATCTTATCAACTGATACTATTTGTTTAGAGGAAAAACGAAGCGGTGTCACTGTCAAAGAGGCACGGAACGACAGAGAGAGAGACGGACGGAGTAATTGACCGAAAACTCGTGAATTCTTTCGTCATTGTTTTCGTTTCGTTTCATTTCGAGGAAATAAATATTATACTTCATAATAATACATGAGAAAGAGAGAGAAAGAGGACAGGGAGGGAGACACAATGTCATAGAGGATTATTGTGAAGAGATTCAAAGATTTGTTTCGTCGTTCTGTCAAAGACAGTCCTTCCATTCCACTCTCTCTCTCTCTCTCTTGGTGTGCGTCTCTCTCCCTCTGTCTGTTATTAAGAGAAGACCATCTTAACATTCACTGGAGATTTCTGTAAGTTTATGTAATGAATTCGTTTTGTTTCATGATTGTATATTTATGTTTCTGACTTCCTGCATCGATATTTTAACTGGGATAAAAGAACTCGGAGTTGGCTTCTTTTTTTTAATGAAGTTGGTGTCTAGAAGTCATTTTAGTAGATGATGCGTGTTAATTCTTAAGTGTTTGCTAACTCTGCTGTCTGTCTGTCTGTTTTCGACATAGAACTTTGCACAAATGTGCGGAAGTTCAAGTCGCCACACTCCGTGTAGCACGCGAAGCAAGAGAAGAAAGCACAAGAAAAGCATAATAGAGACAGTGAGCAGAGGTGTGAGACAAAGGAGTAATAAAGAAAAACAAAACAGTTTCATTGAAGATCATAAGTCACAAGGGAGTGGATGCATCTGCGCCACTGAGAACGATTTTCAGCCATGCCACCAATTGTTTCCAACCATAGATTTTTACCGTCCCGAGGACCCCAGCCTGGAAGTCTACACCTTCCTACGTGGCTTAGACCAACTGTTGTGGATTTCATTGACTGGTGAGGCCAAGTTTTTGTTTGACCACCGCTAGCTGTTTTCCAGCCTGACCCTATATCCGCTAACATTGCTCGTCGAGGGAGGCGATGGCTTGGCATACGTAACACATGTCCTAACCATCTCAGTCTTTGTAGCTTCACGACTTCGTCGATTGATTTCCCTGTTTACCTAGCACTCGACGCCTAACTTCAATGTTGCTCACCTTATTATGCCACTTTACACGAGAAATAGAACGCAGGCACCTATGATCAAAGACAGCTAGCCTTTTCATGTCTTCCACTCTCTGTGGCCAGGTCTCACAGCCAGCCATGAAGAAGGACGGAGCGGACTGATGAGCAGTACACCCGCCCTTTGGTCGATAGTCGAACATCTCGTCTACGCCAGAGTCGGCGTAAACTAACAAATGCGAAACGAGCCCCTTGTATTCGTGCTGAGATTTCGTCAGAGATCAGCCCGTTGGCGCTGACTGATGGTACTTCCCAAATAAGTGAAGCGGTCAACGTGCTCTACCACTTCACTTCCTATTTTTAAACTAGGCGTCGATGTAGTCCAGTCCTGTAACATCATCTTGCATTTGGCGGGAGCGAATCGCATGACAAACATTCGTAGATTGAGGCTAACTCTGCTAACACTAACAAGGAAAAAAAACTTAACTAAACTTAGCAGGGTCAACTCATGATAAAGTAGGTAAGCGATATAGTTGTTTTAAGCTACCATAAATTGGTGCTTTGTCACACTGTGAGATCTAACAACACATTAGTTATTTCTCAATACCAAGACTTGTATTAATTACCCTTCTCTCTTTTTCCCGTCATTATTATTTCAAGTAGTACCTGCCTTTATATTTTTGTTCTACCAAGTTAGTTTCAAATAAGTAAGATTGTTTCAACAATAACAATCCGTTTACGGGTAGTGGCAGATTCGGTGTCATCTTATCATATTTTACCCATCAAACGGTCGTAATTTATCGCTTGCTAAAATATTTTTTTAAGTCACAGGGTTCAAAGGTGACTGTTATATAATGGAGATGTCTGTACACACGAGGCTCTAATCTTGAGAATTATGTACTAAAAGTGTGCGTCGGTGGCATAGCGGTTAGGACGCTCGCCAACGATGCACATGGTCCGGGGTTCGATCCCCAGCCACCGACTCACTCCTTTACCTCGTTAGGTCAGAAATAATGCTGGTGAAGAGGAAAGGTTGGGCATGAGGCTAGCAACCCCATCCTGTAAAATAAACACTGCTACTGAAACTTCAAGCCACTAGTTTGGAGCCCTATGCTCCACTGGGAACGTCAAGGAAAAATTATTTTTTTTATTATGTATTGAAAGTAATTTTTTACTTTATCGCCCTAGAATTCTTGGGTCTTTAATCGTTACCAATGTCTTTGCTTACATTTTTCTTTCCTTAAGTGTACGGTGTTCGGTGATAGATAACCTTATAGCGATTATATATCCGATTGCTTATTTATGTTATTGTGCATGTGTCCTTGTTTAGCTACCATAACTAAATGATTTTATGCCTTTTGCATCGGTGGCACAGTGGTTAGGACTCTCGCCGACCATTCACATAGTCCGAGGTTCGATCCCCTGCCACTGACGCACATCTGATATCTATGGTCGGCCTGCAGAATTTGGGCTATCGATATCATATGCTGAAAATTCCATACTTGTACCGAAAATACGCTGTATGGCATCAAGCTGTAATCAAAAATAAATAAATAAAAATAAGTAGAATCGAGAATGTGTCCACTTTATCCTATTTAGAACTTATCATTATTATTATTATTCCCGTGAGTTATGAGTACGGAACATAAGGTTTCTATGCTCTGCAGTCCTCTTTAAGCTAACTTCTCTGTATCACCCTCGAACGAATGCTGCTCAACTTACCGTTTCTCATTCGACTTCTACTTAAGTTATGGCCTTGTACATGATATCACACAGAGATCCCCATTTCCTTCGGAATATAGCAGATCACCTGATCTTCAGCATGAAGCCAGCCAGTGAAGATATCAAGTTTCTGATCCATATAGAGAAGATCTGATTGAATTAACATTGGTGTTAAAAATCCGAATTGTTTTTTTCTTTCTTTATATTGACCACAGCAGATTTCGAAACTGATCTCAAAGTGATGACGGTTTTCTATGTCTTACTGATCTTGGCAAGGATTGACATCTGGAATTAATAGTGTTCTCTGAGCTGGTTGGTTTAGTTGCGGAGCTTTCGTCACCCGTCCTTCTGGACATCATCCCCCTTCAGTGCAATATTTAGCATAAAGTGAAATGATTTAAATTCTTCATGAGTGATATAATTGCGTCTCCTGGTAACCATCTTTACATATATGCATTGATCATTTTCTGTTGACTTGGATTTTAAACTTTCTGGTCACACGATTTACTTTTTATTAGTTGGTAGATTTGGTCTATATTGACGTGTTTGTTGGTTGCATATTCGTTTGAGTACCAGGCTTCTAGGAATTCCCCTAGCTGCAATTTTGGTGTTTCCTCTGTCTAAAATTTCGACATTATCCCAGTCACCAAATTGGTGTTCATAATTATCCACATGCATTGATATGAAAAAGGAATATATATATCGTGTCTTTTCACGGCTGATTTGTGCTCCTGGATTATGATTCGATGGGGACGCCCACTCTGGCCGATGTAATGCCTGTTACAGTTCATACACGCAATTTATTTTGTAAATGGTATTAATTTTATCTCATTTTTCTATTGGATCTATCGGTTTGCACAATATCCGTGAATGAGGTGATTTGACTGGCTGGCTTGTGTGCTATGTCTGTTTCAAACGGTTTCAATATTCTAGCTGTTATTTCACAGATATTTCTCATTTATGGTAGGATGTATTTTCTTGTGGTGGTTTTTGACATCTTTCGTGCTGTTTGCCTGTAGTTGAAACGATCCTGCCAAGGTAATTGATTTATTAGGGCTCATTAGCTGAATGTTTCCGTCTTTTACTTAAGCTGTCCTGGTCTATATCAGAGGCACTGTTGTGTACAAGGATATGATTCGTAGGAATCAATGTGTTTTAGGAGGAGATGAGCTTCTTGTTTCCTACCGATAACCCCTCCCCCACTAAACCTGTATTCTTTGTCCATATGTAGTCGGATGGTGGGATGGTTCAACCTTTTTCTAAATTAAAGCTATTGTTATTTACCAAATTCATGTTAACAAGCGATCACTTAATGATATGAGATCATATGAGATGTGATAGTTCTATATTCAGGTTTTATATCTAGCTATTTAGAATCACAGATATCCCTGGGATACTTTGATCATCTTTTTTATTGTACCCGGTTATTATGTAATCGTTGAGAATTTAACAGTAGTAAAATCCAAGTTATTTACTAAACTGTCTTTCTTGACATTCAGCAGTGCTGGTCTATTGGATCACGTTTTGATGTTTAAAAATGCGATAGGTGTAGACTCCGAGTATCAGTAGGAACATCATCACTCACTCAGTGGGAATTCTAGGTTGCTTTTTTTCATTCCTTTACATTCCCAGTGGGACATAGAGCTTCGCAAATTAACCATCCAGCTCAGAAAACACAACCACATCAAAATCACCCACCTGAGCTACAAATCTTCTCTATCATATCTAAGTTCCTTTGCGTTCCTAGTGGAACTGCACGTCGCCACTTGCTTCTGTCTTCTGCTGTACTTTTCACCTACATCCATGTTAGTCCATACTCTTTCAACCAACTCCTCTTCACATGATCTCCTCCATGTTACTCTTCCACTTACGTCCCACTCGCCGCTTTCCTTTCGGCCTGGTTCCACTCGAGCAATGGCCTGACGCGCGCACGATGTCACCCAGCCGCCTCCTCAGCCACGAGTGTCCAATCCATTTCCATCCACTTTCTCCTGCATATTGGTTGGTTGGCGATTGGTTCTTGTTTTGTTTGTTTCTTCCCATAGTTTCTTGTTGGTGATTCTTTCCGACCCGCCCCGTCATATGAACTTCAGTATAGATTCAGCGAAGAGAGTTGTTGGTTGATAAAGGTAACGTCTGCAACAGGCTGTTGGAAATATTCTTTGTGACCCGCCCGCCCGCCAACTTTCTGATCCATTCCATATAGAAGAACTGACTGACTGACTTGACGTTGTTTGTATTGAAAATCCGACTGAATTTTGTTGTTGATTCTGGCTGGCTGGCTGAGTGACGAAGATTGGTATCCAGATTGTTTTCAGGTTGATGATGAATGTGTGTGTTTCTCGCCTGCCTTCCCGATTCTCGCTGGATTTGACATCCTCGTCCGTTCCGACTTCCTGTAGTTGAGACAATGCTCCCTAGATAAGTAAGTGAATGAAGCAACCTCTTTCAAATCTAACGGTAATGCTGAGGTAGTTTTGAGTTCTTTATATTATTGTTGTTAGGGCATTTTACAATTGTGAGTAACCCAGGAAAGCTGTTATCGGCGATAGGGTAGAACGTGTTCAGACCATAACCTGTGTGTTAT